GCCTGGGTGGCAGCTCCATCCCCCGGGGGGGGCGGGGCGTGCAGGAGGCAGCTGATCGATGATTCTCTCTCGTCATTGATGTTTCTATCTCTCTCTCTCCCTCTCCCTTCCTCTCTGAAATCAATAAAAATGTATTTAAAACAATTCTTTTCCTCCTGAGGAAGCGCACAAATCTTCCACACGGGCCGGGCTTGAGCGGATTTTGACCAACGCGTGGTGCCCCCCGTGCCACCCACCCCCTCTCCGCACACAGGCTGCCCCGAGCTGCCCGGCACACGCCCAGCTGGCTGCGGCCTCTCACAGAAACTCCTCCGTGCCTCTGGGCTCCCTGTGCTCAGCATGACGTTCTGACATTCATGCGTGTGTGTTTGCGGGTGTGTCAGACTTTGTTCCTTTTTATGGCCGAGGACTCCATCAGCCACGCAAATCTCAGTGTCTCCTGTTCCCCGTGAGCGCCGCTTCCAGGTCAAGCTGTTATGCGGAAAGCCGCTGTGACCCTCCTCGTCTTTTTATTTTTTTATATATATTTTTAATGATTTCAGAGAGGAAGGGAGAGGGAGAGAGATAGAAGCATCAATGATGAGAGAGAACCATCCATCGGCTGCCTCCTGCACGCCCCCCCCCCCCCCCCGGGAATCGAGCCCACAACCCGGGCATGTGCCCTTGACCGGAATCGAACCCGGGACCCTTCAGTCCGCAGGCCGACGCTCTATCCACTGAGCCACACCAGCCAGGACCCTCCCTGTCTTTGTGCGGAACCTACGCTCTCATTTCTCTTGGGCCAATAAGTAGCCTCAAAGTGGGGGTCACAGGGTTTGGATTAGCACCCCTTCAGGGAGGTTTTCAGGTCCGATTGGGTCATTCCGTCCCCCCCCCCCATCCTCCCCAAGAGCTATGCAAACTTTTAAATGATTTTAAAAAACCACAGTTGATATATGTCACTTTGATGATGATGGTGATAATGAGGGAGAAAAAACCCAGCTAAAGAAAGGACTCTCCCTGCAAATCCTCGGGGTTCCGTGACTGGGTCCTTGGCTCTGGCCCTCACAGCCCAGCAGACGCACTGCACCCCACGTGCCCGCGCGCGGCCCCACCTCCCCAGGTCTCCGCGCCAGCACAGCCCGTGTCATTCGGTTCTCGCGGCCAAGTTCTACCTGTTCCCGACACACTGCCCGCTCCGCTGCTCGCCGCACCGGGCCTCTGAGGCTGCCTGCCTTTAGCCTGAAGGCTCTTCTCAACCCTTCCTTTCTCTCTAAGCTCTCTCTCCCCCCTCCGCCCGCCC